TATTTTGAGTGCACATGTAAGTTAGAAGAAATGAAAACAAGAAAACAGCGAATTACTTGAAACAAAAGATTGAGAGAAGAAGAATTAGTGACAGAACATATATAACTTGAGATGATGCTTTTAATCTATATATTCATATCTTCATCCTATTGCATCAACTCATCCAGAAAAGATGAAAGTAGAACTTGAATAATAAAGACAACCACGTGATAATAATCTATCAGCTGCCTATCATGGAGTAAGCGCAGAAGACTGGCACATATTTTTATCTTGAGATATAGTATGAATGAAGTGCCGTGTACGGTGCATGTGTATTTTGTTGCTTTTTCTTTTCTTTTCTTTTTTCCTTCTGGCAAATGATTACAACTTGGTAAGATATATTCATACAATCGACTTACTGCGGCACATGCAGATGGTCTGCAGTCTGAATTCACTTACCACATGTTCCCCCGTCTATGGTTTTCTGCCATGTATGACGATATAGTGTATTAAATATATACCAGTTACTTGATGGAGAATATGACGGAAAGTTGTCTTCACGATAAACGATATTCAACTGTTTAGGTATGTAATAGTTGTGCGTTCTTCTCTTTAAAGTATCTGTGTTTGATATAATAGTTTTTTTACATTAAATGTCTCATTTTTTTTAAACAAAAATAATTCGGTTAGCCAAACCTCAATGTGGCTCAATGCTATCTCAGTCTTACGTTTCAGTTCACATGTTGGGTCCAATGTCTTTAGGTTTGTGATGAGGAAGTTTATCTTTAGCACACATCACATGATTCCAAGAAACTGTCTCCTAAGTGTGGGTCAGAAGGTAATGATACTCCCAGGCATCCAGGTTTTCATTCACTAGTAATAATAAATCATCAATTCAATCCTGACTTCTCCTTTGAAAATTTTTGCCAAGAAGCTCTACGCTTTGTTTATACTCTGTTGAAAAATAGCTTCAATGTGTTGGATCTCAAGAGATGATAAGGGGAGAAATAGTAACGCAAGTCTTTATACCAACGATGCAACACTTTTTCTTCGGAGTTAAAATTCTAAGCGTCTTCTAGATACCATTCCAATTTTCTTTCTTGGCTTATCATCATACATTTGTCGCGTTGAATCTGACTGGAATGATCGTTTTGACATCCAAAACAGTGTTCATGCTTCGAAGCTGTAATTCCTGCAGCCAGGTGAGATTAACAAAAAAGGATACTGAATGTTCATCTTGCTCCAATCATCTCCAATTTGTGACTTTCTTTCTTTTCTACAGGTTTTGCTTTTCTAGTTTTGTCTTCTTTTCTTGCTCAAAAGTCAAATAGTCTCCCATCTCCAAAGAGACTAAGTAGTTCAAAGAAGGTTCGTATTCTTCCAAGGCTTCTCAAAGTATATAACCACTTCTCTCATGCGGTTGATTTCTAGAGCATTATCAAAATCTGCATAAAATAAGACGTTCACCGTGTTGGTTAGAGCTTCTGCAAACTGAAGATCTACACGAAGTTGGCGAGATTATATATGGTGAAAATGGCCCTCATTGCCGTCTTGGTCAGGAATGAAACCAAAAACTCACATGGCATAAGCCTCTTGTATAATCACCGTACGAAATACCTGGCTGATGTTGGTGCCAAATTGTCCCGTGGCTTCATACAGGAAAAAGGAAGAGCTCAAGCAATTTTTCTGCTCAAGTGTTAGGTTTGAAGAGTCTGGTAAACAAGGTCTGGCCATCTCAACTGACTTTATCTTGGGCACTTTGTATGTTTAAACCCGAAAGGGATTCGTTGATAAGATGCTAATGATTACAAGTTTGGGTAACTCTTTGGAAAAGATGATATTCAATATTTGATCGGAGGACGGAGGCAGGGATGTGTGTCAACAAGGACGTTGCAATTTTACTAGGGATATGATTAGATGCTATTTGAAACACTTCTTTTTTGTCTTGACTACACTTGGTGGCTTAAGAAATTAGAGCATCCGCCCCGGATGCTGGAGGTCTCGGATTTAAACTCCGGCCGAGTCATACCAAAGATGATACTAACAGCTGCCTCGCTTGGCGCTCAGCATAAAGAAGTTAGTGTTAGGACTGGTTGACCTGGTGTCAATATAATGTGACATCGTAACGATATGATTGAAGAATTGTTAAAGTTATGTTAAACTTCCAAATCACATTCACACACTCTCGTGTGTCCTCTTCATCTTGCATCCAGGTAGCCGCGACTGCATTGGTCACTTTGCGTTGTTCGCTTTTCATCATCGCCTTGAAATCTTTTTGAGTCGGTTGTACTGTTTGTTTTGTGAAAGAGTTGGAGACCTTGCAAAATATGGTAGTACCGTCGTGAATTTTTCATTTCTGACAAATCGGTGCAAGCGATACATCAACGATTGTAAGTCTTGATGTAACTGTAACATTGTAGTTAGATTTCGTTTGGGACGTAAATGAGGGGTCCGTTGTTCGTGCAAATGATAGAATTTCATCCACCATTTGTAGAACACTAAAGTCAGTTTTGTCCTTCCAAAAAATTCGAAAGTACACGTATGAGGTATTTCCATAGTAGATGACCTTTTTACCTGCTTCCTCTTATCTCTTGGTGCTTGCTAAAACTTGTCCAATAATCCCTCAAAACAAAGGAGCAGTCACTCCTTTGCGCAAAGGTCCAACCAGCATGGCTAGAATACACCAATATCATCTTTTTGGCTGATGGGTATTTTCTTTCAGACAATATGGAGAAGAGGGTTCCGATGTTTTCCAAAGCGTTTTTATGTTTAAACAAAATTACCGTATCTTTCAAAAAACTCAAGCAACATTCACACACGGTATCTATGCTTTCTTTAGGGGCTGTTGAAATAAGTTGTTTTTCCATGGGAGGATGGGCTTTAGTCAGTATATACAGCACGTCTCAGTGTTTGACTAAACGAAGAGCAGTCACTTTCTTTTTTTTTTTTCCTTCTTTAGCAGGAGAATGATGGTGTGCACTTCTGGAGAGTGACATCTTTCCATTTCAGAAGCGAAATGCACTGAAACTCATAGCCTAACAAACAACTTTTTATACCGCAATTCGTCACCACGAATGGTCGGTACGTTGTGTCATCTTTGTGATGGACATCACTCAACGTTATAGCTTTTGCAAAGGACAAAATCGTAACAGTTCTTGTTTGGATAAATCCGGTAAACTTTATAACATTTCGCGACGGATGCCCTGCAGGATGCGAATCAGTTTGTCTAAAAGATGAGGATAAAAGGAAGTCGTATTGTTGATTATGAGACAGACAAGAAGCTTCGATTGTTTTTATCGTGCTTTCATACCAATGGTGACGTATCCTTCACGGCAACAGTCTTGAAACAGATCGGTACGAAATCGCAATCAATCGGATGTAGTGGGGTTTAATCGACATGTAAATTGACATGAGTGTTTGAGTTGTGTACGTCAGCCAGGGACGTCCTAATTGTGTGGCTAACGCTTGCACTTGCGATTTATCACTGGGACTTTTAAAGTTGACCATGTAATGGGCATTGAGACTGATGGTACGTTGGCTTTTCTTTGTTAAAACAAATTTTGGGTAATGTAACTGATAATGGCATTACGAAGATGCCCTTGTATGTAAACCAAAGTTTCATTTTTTTGTCTTCTCCTAACATGTTATGAAAGATGACATGATGTGTATGACTCGAGACAGACACGATCCCGTCATTTCATCGAGGAATGTCTTCCAAGAATGCAATGGATTCTCCTTGACATTTTTGAAGGAAGATGTAAACTGATTGACACTCTTCGTAACAACGCATGATGCTTTGGGTGGACGATCGATGAAATGGGTTGTGTGCTCAATGACATATTTTACAAAAGAGGTTTTACCTGAAACATTCCTTCCAACAATCATCATATCAAAGGGATGGCGAGGATATAGTGTGTCCTATCTTGGACTATCTAAATTTTTGTCAATGACATTACAGCGGTACAGGATATCGAATAAATTTTATTTCACTCTCAATTTCACCGCCAATCACACATGTCAAATGAGTTTAGTCTTGAGGCGATACTTGTAAAATTTCCTTTAAGGTCTTCTACCTTTCCTTGCATTTTTTATCCATCAAGTTCTTTGTGTCACTTCCACATTGTAGGTTGACGTCTTGGCATCTAGAACCTTAATGGAGGTAGGTAAATTATTATCTGACCATTTGTAATTTTATGAAAAAGCGTTCTTATAGTATTTAGATATCAGTGGTAAAAGCGTTTATGTCGTGATGGGTGCAATTGTTCCTTGTGTTTCACGTATATTTTGACGAGGTAAACGCGTTCTCTCAGCTCCAGAGACAATATATTTTGACGAGGTAAACGCTTTCTCTCAGCTCCAGAGGCAATATATTTGGATGAGGTAAACGCGTTCTCTCAGCTCCAGAGGCAAATCATAAATGTTTTCCCACTAAATCACTTGACGATATTGTCTTATAACAAGCAGATAAATCCAGCCCTGGCTAATAGTTAGGATCTAGGTCCTCCCTGATATTGTGGTCACTTCCTTTAGACGTTTGGAATCGACTTTCAAAGCCATAGTAGCCAGGCACAGCCACAGGCAACGTATATTCTTCTTTCATCCTTGCATTTCGATAAGGAGGCTGTAGCATTGTTTTCACCAACATGGATGAGATCCGTAGACGCATGGTATCATATTGACTACGAGTACAAGTAAAGAGGCAATATACAGGGTAATGAACATCGATTTTGCATGGTATGATGGTACTCGCACAGCATTACCTTTTATGGTGATATTAGTAGAATTAATAGCGGTAGTAGTAGTAGTAGTAGTGGTAGTAGTAGTAGTAGAAGTAGTAGTAGTAGTAGTAAAGTCGTCATGACGTGCTGTATCAATGTTGATCCAGTGTACGGCATCGAATCGATAGTAAAGCACAGCACAGCAATGGACTCACGATATCACTGAACTTTATCCCCTCGTTTGCTTGTGTTTCTATGATATGATTCATCTTTATAATTCGACGTATGTAGTCGGACCGCTCAGGCGGCTTAGTGTTTAGAGCGTCCACCTCGGATGTGAGACGTCGCGGGTTCGAACCCAGGCTGAGTCATACCAAAGACTTATAAAAATGGTACTAACTGTTACCTCGCTAGGCGCTCAGCAATAAAAGGTTAGTGCTTGTTAGTGGTTGGAATGGTGTCAAAATAATGTGACTGGTGGGACATGATGCTACATTCCTTCGTCATGATGCCCTAGTGCTAGATATCATTATAAACTGCCACACTGCAGACATCGTAGCGACTTGACTGAGTTAAAGCTACGTTAGAAATCCAAACACACACGCGCGCACGCGTATATAGTCGCAATGAAGTGTCGGTCTTGAAAGGCTTCCCTTTTTATAGCAGGCTATATCGGCTTGTTTGCACGGTAAAGTGTTGTGTTTTGGAAGTCTCACTCATTTCTGATACAAGATTTAATAGATTTTTCAAAACAGTGACTAATGATTGTGTGGTTTTGTAACCGTACAGTTTTGTGCGGCTTCAAGGTGACCACGCTAAAGTCTTTATCTTCTCCGGACTTAAGCACTTCAGCACATCAAAGTTCACAGCTTGACTCGTTCGGTAATTTTAGCATCAATTCTTTGACTTTGCAGTTGATGTGTTTTTCTCCCTGACGGTTGTGGTATTAGTGGCTCTAAATTTTGGGACCGATGCTAACAAAACTCAAAATCTTGTTTATGGGGTGTTCGTCAGTCCATTCCACTAAATGACCGCTTTCAATGTCTGGGTGAGGCTTCTTATGATGATGAATTTAGACACGATCTCCTAAACGTTCTAATTCTTCGTACAAGTTTAAGTGAGCATGATCGGTCACGTAGTCTGCGATTATGATATTATAAACTCTGTTTCTTATTCGTATCTGACATCCACGTATTTCGTTCGTTTTCCTTTGTCGTCTACCAGTGCATGGTAGCCGGAGGAATCTATCAAGTACTCTGTCTTAGGCAAGCACGGTCGTTGTGCCATTTTTCCCCACAAACAATTCAGTATGACTTTGGCAACGAGCGTCTTCCTTCGTTCTTTCCTACGTGTTCTAACGCGATGCCTTTAAGGGAATGGTATCATTCTTTGAAGTTTTCTTGGTCTTCGGATGTTTGACATCATGATAGCTAGCCGCTGACTTCTTGTTTGAGTTTCAAATAAACGTTGACGTAGTTCGATGAAATGCTTTTCTGGGGGGAGTCGTCCTTTCTGGTAAAGTGGTAAATTTCGTAGACTTTTAACAATTGGCATCCCATATTCAAAACACGAAATAATTCCACGCTGACCCACGTTCCTGTCAAAGTGCGTTCTTCCTGTGTGTTGATGATAATGTTCATAATGTTGTTCTTGGTTAGATTTTTCGGCACAGGTGTGATACAACGGCAAAGTAATACGGGATGATACAAGTAGATGGCAGGTAAGACTGCATTTTACTGAGTCTTCTTACTGAGGAATGTAATCCACGTACGTTGATGTGTTCCGTCAACATTTCAGTGTCCTGTTGGAAAGCGACTATATTTACACAACCATGGATACAGTGAACACACGTCGAGGTATTTGAATTATTTGAATTTTTCTTCTTGAGATTCATTTGATTCATAAAGCATGTGTGTGGCATTCGTTCGTCCCTTTAATAAACTGTCGCGGAGATTCAGAGGTTCCATGGTCGCAACATCGTAACCTTTAACAATGCGCGTAAACTCGGGATCGGTTTTGAAACGTCGATCTTAATCGTGGTCCGCATTTTTATCGCTGGGTATCCATGTTGTTCTAAACTCGATATTCGTTGGTACGTTTTCTTGTTAGTAGGTGTTGTCTGAGAATTGTTTTTCTGCGTCTCATTTAGGGCAACAGGTTGGTATCCGTGAAATAAGCATTAATTAAATTCGTAGACATTCTCGGTGACTTCTAAATCCCAGCAATCCACGGTAAAATTTCCAATGGTCTTTTTGCCCCCTCCGTTTCACGCATGTTGGATCCATTTGTCTTCTGCAAATGTAATATAACCAATGCATATCTTTATCCGAGCATCGACATTTGATGGACAGGAAAGTGTGAGAGCCTTTCGCAGCTAGTGTGTTCTCAAACATGAATTGGTTGCGGTACACTAAAGAGCCTGCTTTGGCTATGGTAGAGGCTTCCTTCAAAAGATCCATTTCTCCCGTGCTCCATAAACAGTTGTCAAAATTTTCCGCAGCAACGGTGATAAATGTCTATATCAGATGGACAGTACTTAGCATTTCTTCCTGAAAGTGGAGGTGGATAAAAGCGGTTAGAAGCGGGCAAGGGTACCAAGCGTAGAAAGCTTCTCGTTCTTCGATGCGCATACTGTCGGGGTCGTAATGGTGAGTTTGGACCAAATGCGGCAGGAATTTGTTTGGATTGGGCTCGGTACTGAAAAAACGGGGAAAATATCTTTTGGCTATTTCTGTGATTCCAAACGTAGAAGGCATTGAACACAAAGACATGGCCAAATAACTTAAGTAATATTTTAATTGCATCATTCCACTTGCATGTGAATGATCTTAGCTCCATTCATGGTGACTCGACGTCATTCGGTGCTTTGCTATGAGTAGTATTTAAGCAGAAATTGTCCATCGTAACCCGAGAAATTGTGACTCATTACCGTGGCATAGTGATGGCATTCTTGACTCCACGCAATGTCGATAACTCCTAAGATACATTTGGCAAAATCAGGAAGAGTAATGGGACCTCGAAAGATTTTTTTTTTTTTTACATCCTCTTGGGATCTTACTACTGTGGGCACACTTATAAAAGACTGTTTCTTGGATGCTCTCGTAAGCTCGAGGAGCGAAATAGAAATTAGTAATGTGAATGTCGGTTTCTTGCACACATTCAAAATAAAAAATGATGAAATCCACTTGCATCCTTTTCTTCTTTTCATCCTTCTATTCAGGATTGTATTTTCTAATGTTGCATTCATGTCGACAAACATGACATCTTTTCTTCCTTTGACAAAAATGGGCCCTGGGGTTGTTTAGGGCACACAGTTATCCACAGGTAGAGCAAAATCGCAAAAATAGGCAAACGCTTTTATTTCTTTGGGCATTCTATATATCGGATTGCAAAAATTGTTTTATCTTATTTGTTTACGGACAAATTTAGGGGTGTAATGATCAAATTCAAGAACATTTTATTGTCCAAAAGCGTTTATTTCTAAGAAAATGTGCTCTTCATTTTTTATAGTCGTTAGGTTCACTGTACTGAAATGTAAATAACACGTCCCTGTTCTTATATTTAATTTACTTTAAATTATTTAAAATATATTCTATCCACATAATGGTTTCACCAATCCAAAATTTTATACACATTTACAGGCATGTCAAAATTATTGATTGAAAATTTTTCTAATGAGTTTTATTTTTATAGAACTTAAAACCATAAACTGCATTTTAATAGCATTTGAAAATCTATTACATAATCACATAAAGGTCAAAGGTTTAATGTTCATTTTTGTTTGAAAAAGCTTTTTTAGTTCTTAACCTATTCAGAAAGATCTGTTTGCATGCTTCGTATGGTATACATGTGCAAAGTTAAATGTTCTATCTTGTCAAAGTTCCATTTTATCCTTCTTTTCTGTGCAAAATGTGGTATTTACAATGTCAAATAAACATTCAGCGATAGTACCCTTTCTACCTCTATTTATTATATTTAGATGCTTTTATCGTTTGGTTAAGATTTCTATATTCCAACTTGCTTAGCATCTTGAATGGGTTTCTTCATAAATATGATTTTTAAGCTTACTTGTACATTTACAAAACCAGCCTTTCGAGGTTTTGAAATGATGATTTTATTTTTTCTCAAATACTATTAAATGTCTTTAAATAATTCATACAGATCTCGAGTGCTTTCCACCGCAAAATCTGTATTTATTCAATATTTACGAAGCTTGGCTTCATACATTTTGATTATTTTCTTCTTGAATGACGTTTTTAAAAGTAGGTGTATTTTTTCATATTTTTGTCTTGGTATCACCCATTTTTTTTATTTGCTTAGTTTTCAAAATGATATACACTGCTATTGTGGATGAAACCCACACAAGACATGCTCCCTCCTGTAATATATATGAGTTAATGTGGCACTTCATGAGTTTATAAAACAAGTTTCTCCTAAAGAATGTCTTGTATATTTATTTTGCACATTGAGAATCTTCTTCTTATTAAGGAATCTATTTCTTTTGACAGAAGTGTTTATTTGAATTTTTGTAAGAAATTTACCTCCTTTAAAGAAAACTAGGAGATTCGGAGATTTGAAAGATAGTAATTTGTTTATACATTATGTTGTTCTTGTCTCCACAATTATATGTGGTATGTGGTTCATTTAAATACGTTCTTAATTTTTTCAGATTCAGATATCTATACAAATATACATTCTCTTTTTTTAAACAAACGATATACTATTAAATACTTTATTTAGCTGGGTAGTTTTTACTTCTAAAATAATCATATTCCTTTTAAAGCTGAAAAAGTCAAGAATATATATATATATATATATATATATATATATATATATATATATATATATATATATATATATATATATATATATATATATATATATATATATCGTAAGGTCGATTGTGTTAGAGCTGGGCAATCTGTACAATACTAAGGTACGTAACTCTTATAAAAGAAACGCAGCGCACCAAGACTATTACCTCTTTTCATCATTTTGTTGACCGAATTAGCAATTATTTCTGAATTTTAAAAGAACCAAACCAGTGTTAAATTACTGTCTTCGTAATGTCTGATGAAGTAATGCTCCCATTTTTAATTTACTTTTCGTTGATGAATGAGAAGGCAGTATTCAATTCAGTGCGTTGCACTTGTATATTAAAGGGCGCGATCAGGGCATTGTCCATCTTCTCTAGCTAATGTTCCAGTAGTATAACCCTATCTTCTCCTTGGCGGATCGAATATATAATTTAGTGCTTTGTCCTAGCGACATCTATTGGATTTCATTAGTTGTCTCCTTTAGTATATGATACCAACTAACCAATAACCTGTAACAGTAGTGCATTGTGCATCGGCTGAAATTGATTTATAAA